AGGGCGGCGAGGGGGTTCTCCCTGCCCCCCAAGTCCGCGCACCCCGTTCCTGGGCAGGCTGGGCCTCCGCTGGGACGAGGCCCTCGCGGGGAGCCGCCCGTGGTCAGACGCCAGGAGGCATTTCCTGGGTGTCAGCGAGGAGGAAACCGGGGCCGGGATCACCCACGGGGGTCAGGCCCTCGGTCACGGCGGGCGTGGGAGCCTCGGGGGGCGGAGGCCGGAGGCAGGCGCAGGTCCGCGGGCGCTGGCAGGGGCAGGGGGCAAACCCCGGGCGTGCCCACATCTCCCTCCCTGGGCCAGGCCGGCGGGCAGCCCCTGCGCGGGGTGTGCCTGGGGGCGGGGGGGCAGGCTTCCTGGGGACCACCTTTGCCCCGCCCGGGTGTGGGCTCCCAGGCAGGCCTGGCGGTGGCCCCTCCCCGACGGCGCGCACGCACACGCACACGCACTCACGCGCACACGCACTCACATACATACACGCACACATTCACATACATACACGCACACGCACTCACGCGCACGCACACTCACATACATACNGGGGCAGGGGGCAAACCCCGGGCGTGCCCACATCTCCCTCCCTGGGCCAGGCCGGCGGGCAGCCCCTGCGCGGGGTGTGCCTGGGGGCGGGGGGGCAGGCTTCCTGGGGACCACCTTTGCCCCGCCCGGGTGTGGGCTCCCAGGCAGGCCTGGCGGTGGCCCCTCCCCGACGGCGCGCACGCACACGCACACGCACTCACGCGCACACGCACTCACATACATACACGCACACATTCACATACATACACGCACACGCACTCACGCGCACACACACTCACATACATACACACACTCACATACGTGCACACACACATACACTCACACATTCACATACACACCCACCCACATGCATGCACACACGCATTCACATACACATACACACACTCACACACACACACGTACATATTCACATACACTCACACACACATACACACACATACATATTCACAGACACTCACACACACATACACACATACACGCACACGCACACACACAAGCACACACACCCTCTCCCAGCGCCCTGCCCAGGCCCTGCGGGTCCCAGCCCAGTGCCCCGCCTCAATGGCTCAGAGCGCCCGCTGGCCCGCCTGCGTCAGCCCACATGCCTCCGTCTCCCAAGTGCACCCTGAGCATCTGCCGCCTCCCAATCCACCCTCCCAGGTTTCCCCTCCCTCCCACCAGGACGGGCCCTTTCCTCGCCCGCAGCTCCCAGACCTGGGCACAGCCAGAGCCTGACAGGGTCCCCCCATTTCAGGGCCCCACCTGGTTCCCCCTGGGCCTTATGCTGACTCCTCCCCAAGGTCACTGGACTACAGGGCTGGAATTTGAACCTGGAGCCGGTCCCTCCACCCTCCCTGCCCTGCCCGGGCCTCCTCCCCCTCCACTGTGTGACCAGGCACCACGTTTGGCTCTCCCTTTGCACCCGGAAAATGACCGCAGTAAAACCAAAGTGCAGACCGGACCTGGGGGCCCCTGGGGTTACAGGGCACCCCTGCCCCAGTCAGCTGAAGGAGCCTCCACTTCCCCCACTGGACCCCACGTGCTCCCCCACCCAGACGCCAGTGCCCAGACCCACCTCCCTGCTGGTGCTGATGCTCCCCACCCTGGCCCCAAGGAGCCGAAGGCCACTGGTTCCCAGCCCAGGCTCCCCAAGGGGAGGGGCCCGTGTCTCAGCCTGTGCGTGTCTGCGTGTGCCCGCAGGCCTGGGTTTCACCCAGGTGTGTGTGTACCTGGACACATGTGCCCAGTGCCCTTGGATCAGCCCGCCAGGAATCCCATTAAACAAATACTCGGGCTCACCCACTGAGGTCATGAGCATTCCGGACATTCTCGAGGCACTGATGGATGGAGGAATCTGGCCAAGCCCCCCACCCCACCCCCACCCCAGAGAGCCAGGACTCTGTGGCAGGTGGGAGTCCTCCTCCCTGCACGTAGGACCTGGCCAGACCAGAAAGTCCTGGGCTGCCCCCTGCCCTAGATGCCAGCACCCCTGGTTTGTGACTGCTGACCGTGGCAGACCCTGACACTGAAACTACTTGCCAGTGACCTTTGACGGGAGGAGAATGTGGGCCCAGAGATCCCCACGGGGCACAGACCCAGGGGCGCCAGGCACTGCTCATGTGGGGGGGCCCTCTGGACTTTACCAGGTCTCTGGGTCCCCAGGGCCCCCTGGCTCCAGCCTCATCCTGGTCTGCCTTTCTCCCTCCTCCCGTCTCAGGGCCTTGACAACACCATTCCCTCTGCTTAAAAGTGCTTCCTCCC